TTTTTTTTTTAATTTCTGGTAAGAGTAGAGTAAAATACGATTATAAAGGTGGCATAGGTCCGAATTTCAGGTTTAACACTGAATTTTCGAAAATTTCAAAATTTCAAATGCTCTTTAGTAAAGAGTTACAGTGGGGCTAAGGTTTTGGTATAACTGGCTAAGAACTATGTCTTAATAAATATGTTCGAAGCCTGCCTTGCGTTCGTGTTGAGTGGACTATATATTTTGGATTAATTGCAAAGCAGGCTCGAGTCCCTTGTGATAGCTCGTGCAGGGTGCAGGATGCGTTTCGGTTTTAGTTGTAAACAGACGAATTGCACAACAGATTTATTCACTTTGAGATGTGATAATTGATATAACACACTATTACAAATTTGATAGTTAACGTGCAGTTAAACACTTCAGCTTGTGTATAACGTGAGCTGTATAACTTACACAGTTTAAATTACTTACGATGCACAAATTAACACTTTATGTTCGCGTGATTAGTACTTTATGTTCAGTGTGAACATTAAACAAAATACCGTACGCAAGGGAAAATTTTACCCTCTAACGGAATCTGAAGCAGTGCCCGCGAAACATGCGTTCAGTTGCTGTATTCAACTCGGACAGAAGATGGAAGGTACTTTCATGAGGGAAACATTACAACCTCACGGAATCTGAGGCAGAGCGCATGAGACGTGCACACGCGAGCTGTATTCTAACCAAGACTGAAGATTTGTTAACGGTGACAGAGAGCCGCGAATCTCCTGCGTGCGTGGCAGGGGTGATACATTGACGAATCACTGATTAATATTTGAAATGATTCAGAAGCTTCGGGCAGATGGGACGGTCGCAGTTCGACGGTTAGCCGTCGCTGCAGACGCGATCATGTCAGGGATCATTTCGGCGAAGCACCGTGACGTCACGGTCGCTTGCGAGACGGTGTGAGGCGCCGAGCATCTAAAGGGCTGCCCGTAGAAGCTGTGACGGATTCTGTCTGTTAGCCGAATAAATATAATTTTCCGTAAGATTCCCTTGCTTTGCTCTGTGTGAACAAAGTCATTCCCGAACAAAATATTTACAAAATTGTAACAATTTGTGAGATGTTGAAGAATATTTTTCAATGCAAAGTTATTAAAACTATATTGAATTCATAATTTCACTAACTCAAAAGAATTTTAGCACTAAAAAATTTGCTGAAAGTACCACGTACATAAGGTGCAACAAATTTCGTTCAAAGGGGCTAAAGTGGGTACAAACAATCATTGGTGGGAGAGCTTCTTGGGTACATTTCGCAGAGAGAAAGGGCAGTCATCTAAGTTTGAAGATTCATCTGCCCTTGGCCAAAGTGTATTATAACGTTCTGTTATAAAAATGCATTTTTTCACGATTTCGTTCGAATAACGTGCAAGTAAATCACTTTGAAACGTGTGATTTCTTCAAGCGATAAAATTAACTTCTACCTACTAAACAAGTGTTGTGCATCGGTGATGTGCTCGAACATTCGCTTTCTCAGGTACCCTCCTCCGAACATCATACATCCCACGCTGCTCGTGCGAAAGTCACTGTTTCTTTTTAGTTTCTCGCACTTACTAACGTAAGAAGAGAAAGTATTGTAATCGTGCGAAGGAAAACGCCGGATTTTCGTCTCTTATTGCCGGGACCTGGTAAGGAAAAAGTGGATGAATCCAGATGCTAAATATAGGAAAAAAGACAACCTCCAACACGAGGTGTGGCCAGAATCCGTGTTTTGTGGGGTCCTTGATACTGAAAACTCGATTCATGGCAAAACCGTCCGTCTGTGCGCAACGCTAATTCATATACCGTTCAGACGATTTTCTCTAAAATTGATATTCCTAAATTGTTCTAGCTGGAATTTGTAACCCTGGAATTGGAAACTGAAATTTGGATTCTGAGAGGTACTTTACATCTAGCCCCTGGACATTTTCAAAATTAAAAAATAAAATTGCTGCAAATTTTGTGAATAAATTTTGTTGATGAATAGTGCAAACATCGTTTAAGAGAATAGTGCAGGTCTTATTTCCATTGACATCCCCGATTTTTCGAAAATTGGAAAACAAATTTTAAAACTTCACAATTGGAGATAGAGATTTTTGTCTTAGACAAAGTCTATTGTATAAAATTAGCTCTTCAAAAATGATCTCTATATAAAACGAGTAGTTCTTGCGTATTTTGCGATTGAAATATACAAAAAATTCTCAAAAACCGCTCCAATTTTTTTCTTTAAATTGTCTTCTCTTATATAATACGAAACGATAAAAATATATTGGTAGTCATATTGATGATTGAGATTTTTGCCTCAGACAAAGTCTGTTGTAAAAAATTAATTCTTTAACAAAAGGTCATGTACAATTTTTTGAAAAAATGAGTTTTTGCGGTATTTCTGATTGAAATTAATGAAATATATACAGGTTTCACACCAAGGGTCATGAGAAAAATTGAATGAATGATATTAAAAATAATTAATTTAATTTTAATTATAATTTCCTATTGAAAATGCCAATATTAATTCTATTTTTGCTTTCTCGCACTTTTACTTTACTTAATTCTACAATTTGTATTCTCAATGTATTGATGTACGAGTACATAAAGTTGACGGTCTGCCGACGGTATAATGGCTTTCATCGTTCCTTCATATCGGAGACAAATATTTCTTAAAAAGCTATGTTATTTAGGCCATCATTCATAAAATTATAATATTGTGGAGTTTAAGATATACAACTGTGGAGTGTTCGGAACACCATCTAGTAACTGTATATCTAGGTGGTGTTGATGCAAAGAATGTCAGGAGAGGCTGTATTAATCAAAAATAGATCTTCGAATATGATCATGTTCAATTTTTTGAAAATATGAGAATTTTGGGGCTGATTTGGAGAAAAAAAATAATGGCATTCCGACTTTACTGCGCTTCGTTGTCGTAATTCCGACATTTGGATGCTTCGTATGTTCGAATTTGTATATTTAATATATCTTTGTTACTTTCTTACATTCGACTTTTGTTATACGTTTACACATTAATCTTTTAGAAATTATTTAAAACCTATTTGAAATACTGCTAGCTTCAGGTAACATCAGATTGGATTGCTAAAATGACTCGCAAACTCATTTTTGTGCATTGCATCTTATTGTTGGGACATGGTTTACTTGCATGAAAATCATTTATAATTCTCAATTTTGTGTTGATGTTTGCATGAAAATATTTAGTTTTTGCACCAAATGTACGATTGGTAATGGGTAGGGTTGAGCAGTATTTAAATACTTGTATATGAAATAACATATTTTAAATAATTCACATGTACATTCACGCCAGTTGAATGTTTTCCTTTTCATGATTTATATATTCGCTCACTAGGTTTTTTGTCTTAATGATTTGCTTAAAAAATCAGTCGCTTTTAAGGAAATTTCATTTCTTTGTGTTTAACATATTTTTGATATCATTTTATATTTGAAAATGTTTATACAGATCGTTACAATACTTTACAGTATTTATTGTTCAGAAATTTGTACGACTGTCAATTACTAATTTACTGTAATTCACAATATATTAATGTAATAAAAGTATATAATACAAAATTATTATATATCTATAATATTTTGAGTACAATGTACTTCCTGGAATGAAGTCTTAAACGTTGAAAAGTTGTTAACGTAAAAACTCTGCAAAATAACAAGTTATTATCTCGAAGGCAGACATTCGCGCCCTTTTTAGAGCGCAAGTTGACCACACTGCGCATGGCGCGCTTCATTCAAATCGAGCGACAAGTTTCGTACCAAGAGCTCTTACACTGCGCTCTGTGTACTAGGAGCAATTGAAAGACCCTTACTCCTAGAAAATATTAGCTTTCATATTAACCATATTTTCAGTAAAATTGAAATTTGATGGATGACGGACCAATAAAAATTTTGCTGGATGGAAATAAGAATTTTAAAAAAATTTGCAACTTTCGAAAAATCAGGGTTTTCAATGAAAATGAGACCTGCACCATTCGCATAAACGTCCTTCATACTATCGAACAAGAAAATTTAATCAACGATTTTAGCGCTATTTTTTTCTTTTGAAAATGTCTCAAGGGCTCCAAGTAAAGGAAAAGGATTACCTAAAATTTCAAATGATTACACATTCATTCATTTTTATAATTTATTTAATAATGTATTACATAGCTAGTATAAAAAGTATTACATAACTATTACTAAAAGCTAGAAAGTATGTGCTGTTTTAGCTTCACTAGTTGAATATCACTGACCTTCACATGCCCTTGTGAAGGAAGAAGAGACGGGAAGAGCTACCCTTTCTCAGTTCTTGTAATGTGTGATTTGGGTTCAGGTGTTCTGAACGTATACTGTTGTTCAGTTCGACAAGTAACAGGTATTGGGTTAATAAAGTGTTTATGATATCAGGCGGCAAATCGACAACGTTAACCATTTATGAGAAAATTAGTCTAGTTGAAGAACACGTACAAAGAAACATTTCTGTCATGGTTTTGATAAAGAAATTTAAAATTAGAAAAACGCAAGTGTATGTCACCTTACAAAACAACAACAAAATCAAGAATGAGTAGTTAAAAGAATTTTTTTAGGAGGTTGCCAATATATCCACGAGAACATTGGCGAATAGCCGAAGCGCCATTTAGCAGATTATTCATATGTTCCTACAAATATTGAAAAATCGAGAAACTGGACGAAAAAACTAATCGAGATTGGGGTCAATGATTCAGAAGTGTGGTAAATTTGTTACAGGCGTATTTAGTCTTTTAGAATTATGCAATGCAAATTGTAACTAAGGCATTAAATATCATTGTTAAAATCGATATTATTATTTTCTGATAGTGTAGTATCTAATTTTAAGAAGCAGTAATCTAGCTTCTCATCTTTAGAATTCACGGTTAATCCTTTCTTTCAGGTGCTAAGCTTCGATGCATATTTCCAAGAGACAGCACAAGAAAGAGATGGGTACGCTCACCATGTGCGCATATGCAAAATTTATTTTTATCTGGAAGACGGGACTGTGCAAGTTTCAGAGCCCCGAGTACGAAACAGTGGAATGCCTCAAGGTAAGTTATTAGTAGGGCTGTGATTTATACGCAATAAAAACAGCGAAAAATGCGCATATACATGTAAATTTTTGGTAATATATGCAATAAAAAAAGGAAAATATGCGAAATAGTCTAATGTAATGTGTAAGTGTAATTGTAAGTGTAATAATATGGTTCAGGTCTCGTTTTCGTTGAACTCTTTGAATTTGTAAAAGTGCAATAATTGCAATGCATAAAAGTAAGTATTGTTGTAAGACTACTAGTTTTTGGCTGTTCAAAAGTATTCGTGCAAAATTTGGAAGCAATCTGATTGTAATGAAACTTAAAAACGAACACAAGAAACATACATCCAAACTTTTATTGATGCAGAAGTAGTTATAGCATGTACTGTTTGCTCACAGACACACATTTACTAAATGGTTTCTAAAAATAATTTTCTATTGTCGCAGGTTGTCTCATCTCCAGGAAGAGAATTCCTTTCCCAGCACCTCGGAACCGTGAATTTTACGACATTCTTGATTTTAACATTGGATGTGCGGTTGAACTATATGGAAGGATATTCAAGATAACTAACTGCGACAGATTTACAAGGACATTTCTGAATCGTTTAGGAATTTCGGTTCCCGATCCCATTCCAATGCCGAGAGATCCATACACGGATATGAGAGCTAAGGTAAGAATATTTAAATTCCTAAAGAAGTATTATTTATATAAATACCTCTAATGCGGTTGGCCCCTATAACTACAGGTTCATTTTATGCAAAATAATGGAAACATGTGCGTGGAAGAACAAGCACAGGATAATTGAATTAGTTCTATCACTCATAAAATTCTTCGATACCTTAGTATTGAAATGCTTTCCCCACATCTCTAATATAGTTGTAAGCGTTTTTAAATAATTATTTACCCTAAATTCCCGTTGAAGTGATAAATATTATCTAATTTCGCATAAACATATACGTAGTCGTGCTGATGTTTTATCACACGCGTCTGAAACCTTTCGCCATTATATCGGTTGAATTACGTTTGTACTATTTGTAATTATATTCAAGGATGAGAAATAACTAAATTTTATTCCATTTATAAGTAATGTAAATAGCTATCTCAATATTTGTAAGAATATTCAAGGGATTATTTTGCCGGATACATTAGGTCGGCGAATCGTCCTTTCGGAGATAAATTATTCTGGAAATGTATTTCTTGTATTGGGATGTGGGATTGCATGGATTACAATTCATCCATTAAATAATATTAATAATATTTATTGTAATAAACAAATTAAGTTGACATATTGCAGGGGTCGGTCACCTTTTCAAGCACAGAAATTTCCGCTCATCTCATTGATGGTAATTTGAACCCGTGAATACTTCCGTAATATTTCTTACAAATTTAAACAGTTTGACTTTAACATTAAGAACTTTTTTCTTTTTATCCAAAGAATATATCCGAAATACGTGATGAAAAGTGCCCTCAAACCAAATCGATAATCGCAATGCTCATATGAAAGAGAATAAAAAATGCTAGAGATTCCCAAAAAAATCAGCCTTCTAGGGCAATCTGTTGCAAAAGTACGATAAACGTGTTTTTTATGTTTTATTTTTTTCTCGGCTTCTATTGCATGTGTCATGCTAAAAAAAGCAGAAAGGGGGGGGGCAAGAAGTTGAATTTGAAGGTATTTTTGTCAAACAATTTTGACGCTATATTAAATTAGAAAAAAACTGAAATTGAGTTTCGACGTGATAACATTGGAGTACTGTATCAGTTTCCCCCTAGAATGTGTCTTCTAACATACTACAACACGTATTTTTTTCAGATTTTAAAACAATCTGGACGACAGTGAAAAACAAATTTAAAACCTTTTATCAGTTTAAAAATTTGAAATTGGCGCCTCATTGATACCAAACTAAATTGGTAGTCTAGGCGGTTGGAGATGCGTAGAAATGATTTGCATTAATCTCAGAAAGTTGGCTAACTTGTGCGGAAACATTTTCACTACCTATTATTTTTGTCATTTCGTCTCAGAATTTTACAAGATGTCAATCTATTTCGATATTGATGTATGTTAATACGTAAGTTATTTATGTTAATGCAAGGAGTGTATACTTTAAACTTCGTTTTTAATGACTATTATTTACAAGCATCATTCTGTGAATTAAATTTTGTTTATTGCGAGGTTAATCAAAAGCGCAATAGAAGTTAACAATATGGGCTCTTTGAAATTCGGTACCTATGGCTCATGCGTTTACCTGTTGGTTTTCTTAATTCACATGCATACATACGCGATATCTGCTTTTCGACATGTTTTGTATCAATTCTTACAATATTGTTTTGTGACAGTAGAATATAAATCACTCGTGAAGCTGACCCTCACCTCCAATTGCACTTGAGCACTGGACTGAAACTTTGAGGCGTTAACAACTGGCGTTTCACCACATGTTTCGCAGAGGCATGCGCTCTTCGGCGATGCACAGCTGGTGTAGAACCTGCCATATTAATCGCCTGATACCTGAACGGACTATAGCAAACACCCCTTGAATTGCTTTAGAAGGTGATCTGCGTAAAATAGTCTAGAATCAACACTTCCCGTTAGACATTCTGAAAATAATCTAATTTTCATCAAAATACGTACTACACGTATATTTTTCAGATTGCAAAAAACGAATACATCTATAGTTATAATTTAAAACTCCAAGATGGGGAATCTAGTATGGGGAATGCACATGAAAAATAAGCTCAATGTGTCATTAAAATAAATAAATGTAGCTCATTATTAGACAAGCATATATTCAATTAAAACTCTGTGGAAGCGGGTTCTTTATGAAATTAAACCCTTTTGATAATCACAGCACATGGAAGTCTGTTTCATACCTGTATTCAAATGTGTGTAATTTCTTTACAGGCCGTAATTTGTAAGAAAGTATCATTATATAAACTTTTGGAAGGCAACTATCCCATTTTATTAACAACGAAAAGTTATGGTTTAAAGAACATAAACATCATTACAATTATTACCTACAAGCTATTAATTTTTTTGAAATCACAACAATAAAATAATTTTGCATGTAGATCTTTCTTTATGTTTGCCAGAAATTTTACCCTCTTTTGCTGCCTCTTTTGCTACTCGTTATTAAGTCTCTATTTATAGTTTTTTTGCCCAGATTTTTTAGACATTCTTTAAAAAAGTATTGAAAACAGACACATTACCCAGACCATGTTTAATCAACTTTTTGAGTAAGAAAATGTTGTTTATTGTTTTGTATTTACTTTTAAACTTAAAAAAAAGTTTGAACATTCTTTTATTGTCTTAAAGCTAATTGATAGTTTTTGTTTGTCTTACATGTAGAGTAATTCCTGAAGAAGAGGAAAAATCCTTGAAAAGTGCAGTGAAAAACATTAAAAATTATTAGAATGTTTTAATAATTTTTTAAATCTAAATTATATTTTCAAGTAATATAGACCATCTCAAAAACCCGTACATTTTCATTTCATCGCCGAAGACCTTATATTTTCATTTAAAAATAGGCCATCTCAAAAATTCTGCCGAAGCATGTATAAATGCTTATTCAAAGTGTCGAATGGCGGGGTTGTTGTCCGTCGCAGGAGGTGGACGACATGGCGGCGCGGAAGCCCAACCGCTACGTGGACACGCGCGGCCAGTTCCTGCGCTACGACCGCCACGTGCTGCGCTTCTGCGGCTACTGGGACAACCGCGACCAGCCCTACGGCCTCATGCACCACCTGGCGCTCCACTACTTCCTCGCCGACGACACCATCGAGATCACGGAGATCATCCCGCCCAACTCGGGCCGCGACGCCAAGGCCATGCTGCTCCGGCGCTGCCGCCTGCCCAAGGTGGGAGTTAGGGCCAATGCAGCTGCTCAAGGCGGCGGCGGCAGCCGGCTGCCGAAGCGGGTCTTGGACGGGGGGCGGGAGTCAACGGTCGGCTTTCTCTCTCCATTTACATAACAGCTGTGCAACTGGAGCGACATTGTATATATTGGACAAAGTTCTCCCTCAAATTTAGGCATGCGTTCGCCTTGACACTGTTTTGGAGATGTTTGATTTATTTATCTGGGATTCAAGTAATAATTCCGGCTGATATTTCTCAATTGCTGGGGCAGAATCCTTGACTGTGCGGTGGGTTACGTAGGGTTTAGGGTCGCTTGACTCGTAAAGGAATAAATCATCATCAACATCATTTGGCTGGCTGGAGGCTCATAGAGAAGTTGCTTGCCGTTTACCAAGGAGGTCCGGGTTTGATTCCTGGACAATCTCATGTGAAATTTGTTCCGACAAAACTAGTTCGGCTGCTTCTCAAGGGTTAATCCAACCCCTGTGAAGTGTCATAAACCCTACCAATATCCTAATTTCCTTCCCAATTCTGGCTGCTGGGTACTGACTCAGGAGCTCGTAGTAGGAGGCGCATTCACGGAAATGCTACCTGATGGTCCTCTTGACAACTAACTGTAACGAGACGTGACATAATATATTGATAGATAATGTTAATGGGGTATTACTCCTATGTGCTCAAATTAATAGAGAATTATTACAAGCGCTCAACGCCCCAAAGGGGCTTGGAGATGCGTTGCGTGAATCCAGACGCAACACATTAAAAAATAGTAGGAAGGAAGTTGGAGGTACTTTTACGAAATCGCATGCATATAGTAACTTTTCTTTTGTTTCTGGTGCTCTGGGTACAAAATTACATTACAGTTGGAATAAAACAAAAGTAACTACACAAACGTTGTTCTTTATGTAATTGTAATAATTATCTGAGAAAATAATCCTAAATTATGCGCGACAAAATACTGATCTCAACAGATAAAAAAATTATAAACATAAGAAAATGTTTATATCATGTAAATAATTATACTCGATTATAAAAAGGACGTTATTTTGGAATTACAGTCAATTACTTCAGTGTTATACAGGTGAGTCTTTTTATGTGGGAAAACACAGTTCCGTATTCCTACTAACATTTTTAATAAATAGTTCATTTTCCTTTTGACCTCAAAATTATAGATTTCCGTACAACTTTTTTATTGTGGTAATTTTTCTTTTCCCTTGCAGTCTGTGTATTACCGCTACTTTATGTACATTTCGAAGACTCGAAGTACTGTTGTAGACTCGGGACGTCATTAGTGTCATTTGCGAACATTGTGATTCCGAAGGCCAGTTGATGGGCTATGGTTTTTCTTCGTTGCATACAAAAAGGATTTTTTTGGCAAAACTTACAACTCCTCAAATGTTTTGACGCAGTGCAATTAAATCTTCCGGTCGATATAGAAGTAAAGAAATCGTTAAGAAATTTCGGTTCAGAAAGAAAGTGCTTCTCGGCAAAATGGCATTGGAAACACTTGTTCATTTGATTGAGGAGAAGACAGTGGTGAATTATTTTTTCGTCTGAAATGACTTATCTTGTTTATGAGTGGGTGCAAACAAAAAGGTTCGATGTCACATTTTGCCGGTTTTGAGTTAATGGTGTGCAACTGTTCTTAAAATATAAATTAAACTTTCTATGCACAAACGTTCGTTTTCTGTGAACTCCGTGACGTCTGTAGTGTCCTTCCTCTATTAGTCTTAAGAAAAAATGATCAATGTCCGGAACTTGCTTGCTCTTCCAAATTCGACGCTCCTGGACATCGAACGTTTTAGTTTTCTCCAATTCATATGTTATAATTTTATATTTGTACTACAAATTCACATAGAAATTGTTGTAATGCACCTCCAGTTAAGTGCAGTCCGTCACGCGCGGCGCGTGCCATTTCATGTGGCCTCGTTGCAGATGAACCGGGATCTCCCCGGCCCGGGCAACGCCAGCCTCTACACGGTGCTCAATGTGATGCCCACTGGCTTCCTAAGCGGGCGCTTCATAGCGGATCCCCTTAACATGGGCCTGGAGAAGATCGAATTTTACAAGGACAGAGACCTGGCGATTGGGGCTTCAATTAACTGTTTTGGTCGCAGAATAGTGTTGACCGATTGCGACCCATTCACCAAGGAGTATTACCGGCAGAAGTATGGGATCGGTGAGTAGAGCTATTGCTGTATTTTTAAAATGTCAATATACAGGGTGAACCAATTAAGTCATAACACCCCTTTTATCTCCTCATCCGTGAAAGATACGAATACCGGTGGACAGTCCGTAACATAGATAGGGGCTACTTGATTACAGCATATTTCGGTTCTGTACTATTTTTAATTACAAGGATATGAGATCAACTATGTTTTTTCAAATAGAAATCTATGATTAATTTTAGCTCATCTTAATGAGATTAAAAAGACTATTTCAAATATGTGTATTACTTTATATTTAAGTGAATAGTTTTGCTAGATATAACAATGTTTTGTAAACGTATTTTTCCACTAAAGCGGGCCCCTTTCGAATTCGATCTTTTCTTTATCCACTGAGAAACATGGAAAGGAAATGTCTCTTGCACTCCTGCTTTCCGAAAATGATCAAAGGTCACGTACACGATAGCGGGGCGGAGGCCACGAGTATAAAGGCGCTGCTAGGGTAATATGACAGCTCAGTTTTTTAGTTTCTTAGAGCAGAATGTATACCAACGAAGAGAAGTTAGATGCTTTACTAGTGCTATGGTGAATGCGGAAGAAATGCCGTTAGAGCAGTACAGCGATATGGAGAGCTGTATCCAGATCGTCAGCTTCCTACGCACCAGCTTCTTGCAAGTATGTGCAAGAAACTAGTGAAATCGGAAGCTGGAACGCCTGAACAGAGGACAAGGCAGAAAAACTGCAACTGACGAAGCACATGAGGAGATTGTTCTGGGGTCGACGCTTAGCAATCCACATGCTGGTTCGCGACATTTGGCCAAGGGAATGTGGTATAAGTCAGATAAGTGTCATACGCATATTGCATCGGTAAAATTCCATCCATATCACCCTTCTTTACATTAAGCTCTTGGCGGTCGGGATTTTCAAACGCCGCCAAGAATTTTGCCGGTTTGCCCTGGAACGCCAGCGAGATGATCCAAAGTTTTTTAAACGATGCTTTTACGGATGAAGCTACTTTTACCAACCACGGTATGTGAATTTACGAAATATGCATTACTGGTCAATAAACAACCCTCATTGGTTACGACAGGTACATCATCAGAAACCGTGGAGTGTTAAACGTGTTGGTGCGGCATCATTGAAATTTGTTGGTAGGACCTTACTTTATCCCAGGAATATTAAATGGCAATATGTACGCACTGTTTCTTCGAAACGTTTTACCTATTCTCCCTAGAAGAGATACCACTGACATACACGTCAGTGGCATGTGCGTTCCTACATGACGGCTGGCAGCTCACTCTTCCCATGTGTGCCACAGAAGTCTTAAATGAGAAGTTCCCGGATGGCTGGATAGGACGACGTGCTGAAGTGAAGTGGCCTGCCCGGTCTCCCGATTTGACTCCTCTTGATTTTTTTTCTTTGCGGAGAAAAAAGAAACACTTCAAAATTAAAAGTCTATGCAGAATTCCCACTTACGCCAGACGATATGGAAACGGCGTATCACCAAGCTTGCTCTGCTATATCATGTGACCATCCTTACCACTCTGTTCATTTATTTTTTCGAACGGCGACTGGAAATGTGCATTGCAGCAGATGGACAACATTTCGAACATATGCTTAAGTAATTTTGTTTAATAATGTATTTTGTATTCTCTTTGTACATGACGGATGGTCATAAATTAATTAAATTAACAATATTTTATTTACTTACCTTGGTATTGTAGTTACAATTTGTAATAATACTAGTATAATACGTATGTTGTTACAGTTGTCAAATAACAGAATAAATACTATTTGCTTGACATTACAAAAACCTTCCGGAATCCTTTCAGAAACATTTGGGTCTCTTTCGGATAAGGTCGTCGACGATTAGTATTTCCTCAAAATATTAAAGAAAGTAGTTGTTACTTTTCTCGTGTAATGGAGCGTGTTTGTCTGAAGGACGACTCGCGAAGTTTCCCATTTAGTCAAGAGGAAAGGTTGCATAAATAAGCGAGGTTTCAGAGGAAAAATACGTTACAAAACACGGCTATTTCTAAAAATACTATTCACTTAATTACGAAGTTATACACATATTTGAAATCGTCTTTTTAATCTCATTAAGACGAGCTAAAATTAATCATAGGTTTCTATTTTAAAAAACAATTGACCTCATATCCTTGTAATTAAAAATAGTACAGAACCGAAATATGCTGTAATCAAGTAGCCCCTATCTATGTTACGGACTGGCCAAACGGTATCTTCGTATCTTTCACGGATTAGGAGATAAAAGGGGTGTTATGACTTAATTGGTTCACCCTGTATATGGGACAAACGGTGGCGGCTGGTTCGTAAGTGTTGCTTTGTTGCAGCACTTTTGCCACTCTAAATTAAACAAATAAGTTTCAAAATGCAGGGTGTTTGTTATTCACCGATCTAAACCATTGTAAAGTGCTGAGCAATTGCGGAGATGTTGATTTTTTGCTTTCTCGCTACTGCTTACGCAGTAGAGTGAAAGTTGTCATTTTGCGGGAAAATCGGCGATTTTTGGCAAAATAACACGTATTGCCGGGCCCTAGTAACAAAAAAGTGGATAAATCCAGTCGCTAAATTTAGGAGAAAAATCCTCTGAGACGTGATGTAGCCAGAGTCCATGTTTTGTGAGCTTTGATACAGAAAGATCGATTGACGGCAAAACGCCCGACGTCCTTCAGCGTCTTTGGGGCATGTGAAGAACACTAACGCCTAAACTATGCGTACGATTTTTTCCCCATCTGAACAAACTCCTGTCGATCTGGCCTGAGTCGAAGCTCAGAGGTTTTGAAAAACTTTCATTAATTTTTGGGGGTAGCTTACATGAAGTCCTTGGGGCATTTTCGAAATTTTCTCAAAAATGGTTCCAAATTTTTCTTTAATCGTTTGGTAGGGATAGTGATAAATAATCTCTATAAGATGACATGAATGTCATATTGCTTTATTATTTTGTTTTTACAAAAAATACAAAAACGTATTTTGTGTACTTGTTACTCACGTTAATATTTCCATTATTGGCGACTTATTCACATTATTTTATTTATGGTTACTTTAAATAATGTTATACGAAGTTTTTTGAAAACTTAAGTTTTCTAAGAAAATGAGCTCAAATTTCTTCACTTTCAGAAAGGCTAAAAAGCCATTTTCTAAAAAAAGTCTCCAAATTTTTTCTTCAAACGTTTTGTACGGATGGTGCTACTTGCACTGTTTAAGGTGACGTAAATTTTATTCTGTTGTCTATTATTTTGTTTTTTAAAAAAATTACTCAAATATTTTTTTAAAACATCTTTCAAGATGTTAATATGCACATTTCCAGCGATTTGTATACATTATTAGATTTTTGAGTGAATGTGCTTTAAACGACTTCCAATAAAGTTGTTCGAAATCTCAATAGTATCCCGTGAAAATGAGCTCCAAATTTCGCATTTACAGTAGCGCTTAATTGTCTTTCGTGAAAAGGGCTCCAAACTTTTCAACGAAAAATTCCATGTACAACGAGATTTTACTCTTCAAAAATATTTTTTTAGTAATTTTTAGGTTCTCCCATTAGGGAGAAATGAAAAATCGAGCAAATGTAAAAGATGATGTTTGCACGGCGTTAAATGTCAGCTGACATGAGCAAAAGCCATCCGCGGCCAAAGAATTTAGGAAATTAGTACGAGAAAGTCTGTGCCATTCTGCAGCACCACTAGTGCGCCTACGCATCTAGTTGCTGAGTCGTGAGGAGTCTGGTATCGGCTGTTTTGAACGAGAAAGTCTGATGACGTCACTCTTTCGTATTTTGTGAGCATTCGTGTTGTGCGCATGCGCTAACAAGCTGCTCATTAAACTTTCAGAGATTGCAAGCTTCACAGCATAGAGCAATGTCTTTGGCTGTCCTTTACTTCTTCTGCCTTTCTAAAAATTTCGTGCTAAAATATGTAACTATCAACAGATGGCGCTGAGAATCACTGTTGTGAGATGGCGGACTTGAACGTGCAAAACAATTGTATCCAGTGTCAACCTGTGGAGAAGTACTGTTCGAACAATCTTGTGCCGTTCCGTGAATGAGCTCAGTTAAGTTTAATTGTTCTAGTTGTATTGGGTGATTAGATTATTTCCTTTTGTTGCATTCTATTTGTATTGATTTTAATTGTGGTGTGGCATAAATGTCTCATCTCTACCGACCACCTCTAAAATCGCTAAGTCGCCGCAAAGGTTGAAGAGAAGTTTTAATATTTGTTGTAATTGAATCTTTAATTAATTTCCCATGTTGGGTCATTGTATTGTTGTTTTTGGAATCTTATTTTTAGACCTGGTATTTCCGAAAAGGCCGGTAGCTTCATTTTCTTTATAGTAAATTGTCTTTCCTGTGAACTCAGTTAAATCATTGTTGTTTATTTGCCTTGGAGGATTTTAGAATTGTTCGTTTCTCATGTTGGAGAAATTATTAATTTTAGATTAGCAACACCAGTAAGGATAAGAGTTTCATGGTATGTTTTTTTTATTTTCATGTTTAGGAGGTTGTTTAACTTTTGTTGGTCGCGAATTGGTCATCTGGGACTACGCGAACTCTTACCTGAACTTACCGATGCTATAACATATTCACGTGGCACGTGTACGTGACTCCTTTTTTGGGGGGGAGGGAATCAGCATTCTTATGCTGAATCCAATTTTTATCCTCCAGGGTTGCTCTAGCCCTGGGGGAATGGGATATGGAATGATGATGATAACGAGGAATGAATGGACGACACAAACATACTCATGCCCCAGGCAGGACTCGAACCCGCGATCCTTGGGACCGAGATAGCCACGGCTTTAGTCATTTCGGCTACCCGGATCAGCGGGTTAACTCTTTGTTTTGCGTACATTTTTATTGATTTTTCGTTGCCTCTGGTTATTTATTACTGATTAGGTTATGTGTTCGCATAATTGATTTTAATTGTTTTATTTTCCGTGGCTCTACCTTCCCCGTGCCCGCCGCCGTAAATCGCCTTCGAAACCACAAAACATTCGATGATCGCCGATTTCATAACTAGGCGATGGGAGGGATAAATGTAGTGGAACGAGCCCGTGTCTCGATATTCGCCTCGCGCTGTGAGAATATTTTCCTGGAGTGTTGTTGTGGCGTTGCAGAGGACTTCACGCCGGCGCCCAAGCCGTACGAGGCGCCCGAGTGCGTGCCGTACCAGCTGCCGCCGCTGCCGCCCTACAACGGCTGGGGCTCGTACGAGGACTCGGCGGGCAACTGCCGCAAGATGATCCCCGACCGCCCCAAGATCGACTTCGTCAAGTTCTTCGAGAAGGACAAGTGAGACACGCGCGCCGCGCCGCTGCTTCGCGCCGCTCCAAACGACCCTCGAGATCTCGAAACTCGCTAACCGTCTTCTCTCACACACGCAGACAGGGCATGAACAGCCACTGTCTGCGCTTCCAAGCTCGGATGATTAGCAACATTCCGGAGAATTCGGATCGCCTCTTCATAGTTTCGTTTTTCTTATCTGACGACACCATTGCCGTGGCGGAAAGGGCGTGCCCCAATTCAGGTAAGTCTCTCTACATATTCACGTGAGTACCTGGAGGCCGTCTGCGGTAATGGTGCTTTGAAATCTGAATATTCTTCCAAAAAATCAAGTATTTTGCATTTGGATGGAAGAGTAATCATGCTATTCATGAATTCAGGAAGACTACGTGCGACGAGTGCGTGTAAAGCACTACTGCTTTAGCGATCTCGGCTACCCCTATCGGCTGGTTAACTCTACATGTTTTGCATTAATTTTTATTGTGTCCTCCAGTACGATTGGTATCCCTGGTAAAGTATTTTATCCATGCTATTTACACAGCTTGATTTAATTCTGTTTATTATCGTTAAAAAACAACTAAATCTGACGTATTCAGCAAAACTATAAATTGCGCACGTTTTGTTCGGCTGCAGAATCTCTTCCTCACTAGTTTACTATTCATAGTTGAATGATGAATAAAAATACGAACAAATCATGATTAGATGGCTTCCGATGTATAGAAAACATTAGCATCGTTAAACAAACGTATTTTATTTGATAGTATTACTAACAAAGTATTAAATCATAGCCCCGTGGCCACAAGTGGCAGAAGGAGAACTCAGCAAAACGTGCGCATAGTGAAGCTACGTTATGACAAGAAGCAAAACAGCCGTTTAGCATTTGCTCAAGGGATCAGAGACAGTGGAGGACGGAAATCCTGATGAAAGTAGTCCGAGGACACCGGAGCGTCCAGATGGGGCTGGGCCGAGGCGTAACGCGTGTGCGGGTGACAGAGACAGGGAAACACAGTTGATCTGATTTAAACTCTTTTATTTTGACACAGATCGTTGTCGAAAATGTGCTGCAGTTTGCTTGAGCACACGTTCGACATCTTAACTCGTCGGTTTATGCCTGCAAGGGTCCGCGATTGTTGGGGACTGCATTTTCGTAGACTCAGTTGCTTCTCAATGTCTTCTCCGAGATACCTACAACTTTATTTGTAATTTCATTTCATTTTAGCCGTAAACAAATTTCGCGTCAAAGACGTTTTCCTGTTTCTTGTTAGTGCAGGCACAGCCGCCGGCTAATGTGCTGTGCCGGAGGAAGGAGGAAACTGTAGACAAATACGAGTGGAAAAGGAAAATTAAGACGTTCGCGATGAGAGAAAAATATTTGGAGAGCGCGTTTGCTAAAATGCGAGATATTTGCTAGTTTGTAAAGGCACTAGAGTGTAAGGAGCGAGTGTGCCAAAGTCGTATGAAGGGGACAACCGTGGAAGCCCCGCCCACATCCAGCCCCAAGGAGAACACGTGCTTCATTACTTTGTTTCCATGCTCATTCGCCCCCTACGTGTTGTGCCTGGTACATGCTAGGACGTGATACGTAGAGCCGATCTACATGTAGCCTTACGGATATTTTCCCCTCGAGGTATTTCCCCTCCGGGACACCGCCCCGGCCAAGACAATCTGTATCTAATCTCCACACTGGCCTTCCGACGTGTGTGATAGTGCAGTGAACGTAAGTGTGTGTACAGGACAAGGATGAGGAGGGAAAGGCGTTGCGCGGTCCGCGCCCCGTTTGTTAGAGTACTGCTCCGGTATTCACCAAGTGTTGATCGGAGAAACCACGGAAAACTACTGATCAGAGCGGATGGCCAATAGAATTCTCCTCCAGACAGCGGCTGAATTCAACCTAGCTTACAAGCTAGTTGCGAAAATCAGCCAATCGCTCGTCTCTCGAACCTAGGACCTCGCGGTCAGACACGCTGTAGATCTCAGTCAGTCCTATACAAAGGGTGCGCCTTGCATGTGCCACGTGTTTCTTATTTTCCACGCGAAGGCCGCGAGAGAGACTCGTGGCGGGTGCGCGTTGAGGTTTCCAGGGCGGCATGTTCTACCACCGCATGAAGATGTACAAGCCGGGCCAAGAGCAGTTCGCCAGCTACGAGCCCGACCACTACAAAGTGGAGGACATGTTCGTGGGCAACCGCCTGCACCTCAACGAGCACGAGTTCCTGCTGGTGGACGCCGACGAGTACGCGCTGCGCTACCTCGAGTGCCACGGCGCAGAGGTCAGCACCGTCGCTTCCACCCTCTCGCGCGCGCGTTTAAATTTTACTCGGAGGGCTAGGAAAGGGGGATAGGAACTGCATGGCTCCGTGTCCTAGGCACAGCGGCCTTCATCAGGATGCATGACTCGGTCATCGGAGGTCCGCAAGGAATATATTAATGCATTTTATTGTAACTTGTTTTTTTGACTTTTTTGTTGTTATTTGAGGTCGCATCAACTTGTAGGTAATTAGCGACCACTATTGCGTGTGACGGTATGGTAACTATGAGGATGACACGATATGATGATAGGGGGTGAAAGGACGAACACAATACAACCATGCCCGAGGCGGGACTCGAACCCGCGATCCTTCGGTCCGAGGTCGCTACGGCACTGCTGCCTTAGCGATCTCGGTCATTCGCATCGGCTTTTTGACTTTTTGTATTCCATTTTTAATATAAAAGTATTATTTGGATTTTCTTTGAGTGGAACAGTATTCTGTAAATCAGATAGCATTTTAATTCTTAATTCGTACATTCGCTTGTTTTAATTAAAAATCAATTTTATTTGTGATATCTGTTTGTATCATTCAGACTACCTGATGGTGCAACTAATTAACAAGTGAAATAATTTTTTTAATTCCATTCAATAAGAAATAAAATTCCGTTGTAAAGGGCAATGAATTTTTTACCTCAAATTATTCCAAGGATACCTCTTGTCATGCGTTTATACCACTAGACAATCACTGATGTGTATCATGTAAGAACCTTTATCATTAAAAATGTTAACTTTTCCTTCAATTCTTTTTCAAATTGTTGACGGTTCCGATATTGACCCCTCTCCCCTGCCCAATGATGTTCTCCGGATACGGAAATGGCTTCTTATATGCTTCTTGATTTTTGGAGTATGTCATTTATGCAAAACTTCAATTTTTTGTTCATTTATACAATTTTTGTTTTTGTCAGAACCAGTGGACATATTTTCAACATCAAACATTTTTATTATTTGGGAATTTCGATTTTGTAGGTGGATAGTGAAATGCTATTCTTAAGTTGAAATTTAATATCATTTGATAGATTATTAAATATAGTATGGAACTTTTTTTGTGGAAAATATGAATAATTGTCAATATTGTTTGTTTCTAGTTTCCGAAGAACGATGTAAATCAAACATTGGATAAGCTTAGAACACATATGTTTAAAGATCCACACTACAAAGAGGTTTTAAGAAAGTATATGGAAAAGAAAGAAGAGTGTAAAGAAGACACAAAAGGAATTGTTTCGTACTGCGATATGAGGTGAAATATGACTTGACATCTTTGGTCCTAAAAATATCCCCACTCACTTCAAGTTAAAGTATTCTCTTAATAATCAGGTGCTGAACAATTGTCCATATGCATTTCCCTCCTTATAATAGTAATTTATTTTAAGCATTCTGTCAATCGCAAATCAACCATACTATCTTCCGGAATGTATTAATTGAAGCAACTGCTCTTAAATGGCATCTAATATGCGAGCATTGTGTTGTCTATATCTAGCTTTGCATACACCATCTTAAAAACAAAGAACAATGGAATGAAACGACATAATGAAATATTGGAAACTTTTGTCTTACAGACCGACAAATATTTTAAACAAATGAATATATAAGCTCTGGACTGCTATAAAAAAGTAATAATTTATTTACAACACCTTGTTAATTATACATTTAGCAAAAAGAATTTTTAATGTTCCTTCATTCCAGTACTGTATTTCTATTATATGATATCGTTGTTGGAAGTTTGAGAGAATTACATGCAATGGTAATTTTGAAAGCAGAATGTTGTCAAATGCTTTCAAAAATTTCTAATAAATATGCCAATAATTGCTTCATTTTTACCCTCTGATAAAGAGACTTCTTTAGGAAATTTTTCTAACAACAAATCACGAAATATTTTTAACATATAGATCTTCTCTATTTTAAAGTGGCACACGAAGTTATAATAATTATACTGCAACTTAGCATGAAGAAATAAATATATGTACTACATGTTAATGATTTATTTTTACAGGAAAATCTTAAAGGAGACGTTTGGTGAAGAAATAACTGAACAAGAATTGATAACCATTGCCCGAAAATATAATGCTTGTTGCAGAAAGTCTAAGATAGACAAGGAAACCCTGAGGTAAATGAAAATATTTTGTTTTGACTGTATAATTTTTCAGCGTAAATCAAAGCGTGGTTCTATAGCAGCACATTCATTCTCACATTATTTGTACCGGCTTGCAATACAATACAATACAATGCTATACTATACTTGGTGAATACTTGGTGAATGGTGTTTTCAACCTCTCCATCACGTCTCCACGCGGGGATTCGAACTCATACTTAGAGGAAGCACGTTACCTCTGCACCGCCACCCTCACAGCTAGATCTAATCTTCCCTATGCATTAAAACTAGTTGTGTCAACAGCACATACATTTTCGCATCATTTTTATAGACAAGTCAATATTATAATATTATATCAACCTGCTAGAGTGTTTGCAACCAGCAATTTGTTTTTAGTCTCTGAGATTCGAACTCGGATCCTTCTAGTCAACACACCAAGCACGTTACCTTTACATCACCGCTTGCACGGCAATATTCAGCTTTTCCGAGCCGCACCTAGTGGATCCATTATTTCTAACTTATGCAGTTTTCGAAAATTTAGAGAGTTCAATGAAAATGAGACTTGCGGTATTTTTAAGCGCCCTTTACTCCATCCGAGAACAGAGTTTAATCCAAAAATGTGAAGACCTTTTTCAGAAAATTTTGAAAATGACGAGGCTTTATGTAAAATACTCCTCGAAATAAAAATATCTCCAGTATCAAAAACGTTTTGAATAAAATAACATAAATGTAATCTTGATGCGTTCTTCTGTTGTTTTCGAAAATTTCACAAATGTAACTACTTTTTAATATCTCTCGCCCTTAATATTTATATTGCAGGCGTTTTTATAACTTATTCCTTTGCGAATACAAGTGGTTCAAAATATTTTTGATAACGTTTGTCACGTCTCTAAAGTTTTCTTTGAAAATTAGCTCAAAATTGGGCATTTTCAGAAGCGCTCAAACGATATACGAGTATTCTGAAAAAAACGGCCCTTCCTAAATTTTTCTAAAAAATTATTTTCCTAAATTTTTGGAACCGATATTGTACGATGCACTAAATTACATGACATAAACGTCATTTTGATGAATTCTTTTGATTTTTGAAAAAATTCGCAAATGTAATTTTTTCAATATTTTTTATATTGTTAATATTTACGTTACAGACATTTTTGTACCTTATTGGATTATTGAGATTGGATTAGTGGATTAGTTCTCCAAAATCTTCATTTAAAATTTGCATATAAGGCCATGTTTTTTTGTTCTCCTGTAATACTCTTAAAATCATATTTTAATTATACTATTAAGGGGCCGAAAAGTCGTGACAATGTGAAAACATAGGTGTCGATAAGTAGGTTTTAGGAAGAAGGTGGTGGAATATCGAAAAGCTACCCTATTCTAAATAGATTATAATGCTAACTAGTACTAGAAAGTCTGCCATTCTGTAGCACCCAACTTCATTAAGTAGTAAATGTATGTTTATATTGATCAAAATAATTTCTAAAGCTTTTGTATATTATTTCTTTAGAAAAAACTGTTTGCAAATAACCAGCACCAGAATCTTATTTCGTTAATAATTCAGCTTTGGTCAATTAAACAAATAATTAATGATGCTTAACTGTGTGCGAAATATTGGATTTGAAGTGGAGGCATCTCTTCATAGTCATTCAAGCTTTATTAATAGAAGATCATTTTGTTTACCCCTTGAATACACATACCATTCTTATCACGTTGTGCTTACCTTGCGTTGAAGTCTTCGTCCTTATCGGGTTTTGCGTAGCTTGCGTTGAAGTCTTCGTCCATTTTGAACATGTCCATTTCTATGGACGACGCGCAGCGACTGCCGAATGCTGCGAATGATAACTTCTATTGAGTCATCGCGGCTGCTCGTTAGTAGATTCCTCATTTTCGTGAAAATATTGTAAACGCGCGGACTGATGTCAGGTGAATGCGGGTGTATTCCATTATCTCCCATCACCGTCTTCGTGGGAGCTCTTCTCGTCGTGTTGCATCGTGCATTGTCGTGAGGGCTGATGTTGCATGCAGGTAGACCACGTCGTGAGAGTCGGATGTCGTGGGCCATATCGAGGTGGACTGGCGCTGGCTTCACACTAGCAGTTGGTTGGCGGATTTCTTGGGTTGGTTGGGTGCAGTTCTTTGGAGGACCAGTGCTTGTCACACGATCTAGCCCTGTTTCTTTCACAGCGGCCCTCGATTCATCGTCCCTTTAGTACTGATTCAGTAAATTCTGTGCAAGGGTGTACCGATGCCACCATTAAAGGGTTATCCAAAGAATTGCAATTTTGTGGAACCGAAAAAGTTGTCCAGGTTTAGCATTGTTTCCATTATTCGTCATTCCTGAAGATATTGTTAGGGCTTTTTACTCTTGTCTTCTTCGTGTCATTCCTGTTGTGAACACAGTATCAACTCGTTTCCACGACTCGCATTCCCTCATCTGCCACGAAATTGACTCTGCGACTCTCCCAACGGATGTGTCCGCTGTAGATTGATTGGCGATTCCGTGCGCATCTGCTGTTAAGCTCATTTAGTCCCGTTAGTGTACTGCATGTTTTTATCACGGTAATGGCAGTGATCCTCCCCCTCTGGAGGGTGAGATACGACTATCAGATCTATCTATGTTCGTTGGCTTGCGGAGTTTTCCCCAAACAGGTGTCTCCCACCAGCGAGGCAACGATCCAGTCGAGACAAGCTCTACGCTCACGATAAGTGTAGTAGTGACGTGGTGCATGTAAGTGTAAGTATGGATAAGTAAGAGGTGAGTATAGGACAAAGAAGAGGAAGGAAAGATCGCGCGATCCGTGGGTAGTTGGTTAGGGTTGTTGATCGGAGAAACTACCACCTGCACAGCTGTTCTCAGCTTTCTCGACCGGAAACTAGTGGTTCCATTATTCACCGAAAAAAAGAACAGTTGGTGTATACCAGATTCATGATACTATAACAAGGAAACTTGTCACAATATCATGGATCTGGTATACTCCAACTGTTCTTTTTTTCGGTGTAACGTATGCAGTTTTCGAAAATTCCGAGCTGGCGGCCGCTATTATTCAGCTCCAGACAGGGAAGTCCGATTGGCACCTATGCCCCGGACGCGGCCTCTCCCGTATGGCCAAGTAAGTACTGACTCCGGCCGCGGAAGCCTAGTCTCAATCCGCTATCTGCTGCGAGGGGCCTGGCGTCCGAGGAGCGACGAGGTGCGGGGCCATGCGGAGCCGTGCGGGACCATGCGGGGCCGTGCGGGGCCATGAGGGCCATGCGGTGCTGTGCAGTGCTGTTGAGCGCCGTGCGTTGCTGTGCCGCAGGTCGATCGTGCACACGGAGCTGAAGCGCTTCCTGTTCGCCGACCTGGAGCGGCTGCTCGAGGGCTTCTGCGAGCTGGACCGCGGGCGCACGGGCTTCGTGCCGCGCCCCAGGGCCTACGCGCTGTGCCGCGCCGCGCGCCTCCCGGTCGACAAGGCGCTGCTGCTCGCCCTCCTCGACGCGTGAGCCCACACACAAACCCTTTGGCTAATTAAGACCTTCTCCCAGCGCCACAACTGTACGCTTTAATACACGTGGAGTAGAAAAATATGTGACGCTCCGAAAAATCAATTTCGAGATTTCAAGCGAAACGCATGTTTGAAATCTCATGATAAAGTGTTTTTTCTTTTTCAAAACGTCCATCCGTCCGTCTGTATGTCTATTTGTCCGTCCAACACTAGGGCCTGAACTATTCGCAGGAATTTTTCCGAAATGAATATTCCCAGGACGACTTTAACTGACCTAACTGTCGTGCCATTTTCAAAAAAAAATCCATAAATTTTGGCTATACTTTTACTAAAGAACCAAACATATTTTCAAAAAAAGAAGCCATCGGTCCAATTTTCACTCTTAACACTGAAATTTAAAAAAAAGAAATCGAAAGTGCGAAATTTGTTCGACGTCTTCCTACAGCTATACTATTGAATATGAATTTTTTTTCTTAAGTGAAATTTGTTCTTCACAAACAGTAATGTAATTTTTACTTTTCCCATAGTACTTACGCCGTATGGAAAAAATATTCTATTTCCGCGGGATTAAACGGCGATATTTCGACCGAAATGCTCTTATCGACCTGGTAACAAAAATGTTAATAAAACGTGTTCATATATATATATACATATATATATATATATATATATATATATATATATATATATATATAAACTTCTAACAAGTTCTGTAGTAAGAATCCACGTTTTGGGGGTCCTTGACATCGAAGAATTGATTAACGGCTGTCAGGTTCTCCGTCGGCCGGCCGTCTGTAAACCAAACCGTTCAGACGGTTTTCTCCAAATTAATATTCCGCGATCGATCTGCAAGAATTCGAGTTTGAATATAATACTTTCATTTTTGGAAAAACGTCACATGAGACATCAACATTTAAAAAAAATTTGAAAAGTACTGATATACATACGAGGAAAAATTAAAGAACAATTTGGGCCTATTTTTGAGAAAATAATTGTTTTTTTAATTGCCTAATTTCACGCACAATTACCCCAAAACTACACATATTTTCGAAAAATTGTACATAATCTTATATCAAAATCTGTCTTTTAACAGATTTTATTTAGAAAAAATCTCGATTTTCTATATTATAGTTGGAGGAAGATGCCGAAAAATTTTACATTTTCGCATTTTTTGAAAATTTAAAGATTTGAACAGAAATGTGATCTGCGCCGTTTTTGGCGTCCTTAACGCTACTCGAGGACAAATTTTAATAAAAATTTGTATCCAGTTTTGAGAAATTTTTGAAACTGAGTTTGATATTTCATGTAACCCCCAATTTTGAAGAAAATCGTAGATGTGGCCTGCAATCGCTAGCGTTGATGACACACGGATAGACAGTCGGACATGCAGATGTTTCGCCTTCAATCGTTTTTCAGTATCAAGGACTCACAAAACGTGTATTCTGACTTCACAACATGTTAGAAGAAGTAACTTACTACATGTAAGGACAATGAGTATCCAAAAACCAGATAATAGCAATTTTCTGTTAAAAAATCGCCGATATTTTCGTATGATTACAATACTACTTACGTAGTAATACTAGAAAGTAAAAATCGTTCATTTCACCCTTGGCACTAATATTATGAGGTTCGTGAAAGTGAAAATGTTCCCATACGCCCTTTCACAAGATTCTGCAATATTCTACATTCATGCAATACAAATTATATCCATCGGTTTGAAATTATATACATCGCTTGACCACATAAAAAACAAAAATCACCAGAATATGTTCTGCATCAAGTGATTCCAATTCTGTTTCAGAATGCCTGAGAATGAAAATCACGAGATCAGCTACCCTGACTTGGTGCAGTTCTTAGATTACAAAAAACATCCTTGTTTCCATTCAATTCCTATTAATCAAAAGGTTGGTATCAAATCTTAATATGTTAACGTGTTAATAGGTTAACGTGTTAGTAATAATGGTACATACAAATGGTATTTTTAATATTTTGCAGATAACGTTCGGAATTGACGATAAGTCTCCGGAGCCTGCAGTTAGTTTTGTGGATCTTCAACTGTTACTCAAAGATCTCAACGTGGAAATAGCCGTGAAGAACGAGTGTACTTGATTCCAGTTCATATAAAAAATTGTGAAGTTGTAAGGAATTGAAATGTATTTCATCAAAGCACCGAGAAAACCATGTTAAAAATGTGTGTTTTTAGAATCAATCATCCAAAATGTCTTATCGGAAATGCATTTTTCAAATCAGCTTATATATTTATTTAAATTTCTTTATTGTTTTATTTTTTAACATTGTGTAAAAAAATACAACATATAACTATATTCTGTGTCATTTTAATTAATGAAAATTATCTGGCATATAATAATAATAATAATATAATATAATATTTTTACTACTTTGAAAATGATTTCGGTGATTGCTCTCCATTTGTAAGTACAACATCAAATTATTACACATTACACATTTTATACATAATATAAATAATTTAAAGTATTTCTTTGCTCTACGCGATACGGTTCCCAACAAACTGAGCGGTATTCGAAAATAGGTGGTATTAGCGATGTGTGTGCAAGTTCGCGATTCAGTACTCCCGTGTCTAGGAATCCTCAACATGAAATGCAAAGCTTCCAATGAGTTTCTGGCCACATACGGTAATTGACTTCCTCGGCCCGTCCCATATATTCTATATATTTCCTACTATGGATATTGTGATGTTATCCAAATCTAAGTGGTATCTTACGTTCTTATTTATCACCTCTCTCTCTCTCTCTCTCTCTCGCTCTCTCTTGCTCTCTCGCTCTTTTTCTCGTTCTCTCGCTCTCACTCTCGCTCTCTCTCGCTCTCACTCGCTCTCACTCGCTCTCACTCGCTCTCACTCGCTCTCACTCTCTCTCCTCTCTCTCCTCTCTCTCTCCTCTCTCTCTCGTCTATAGTTCTCAGATCTTGTTGAGCGTAAGGTTGAAAATAGCTGGTCGGCTTGACTTCCCTTCGTTACAATGCCTAGCCGCCTGCCCGTACAAATCACGATCTACGATCTCTGAAACCAACTGGGAAAAAATGTTATCTTTCTTCAAACACCTGCCGTTCATCGACCTCTCTACGGGGTATGTTCTTGCTATCCCACTTCCTTACATCTATCCCGTGCACTCAGCCCAATATAACGAAACAAAAACTTTCCTGTAGTTGTTGGCGGCACGAGACTGAATGCAACGAAAAAGATAGCTGTTAACGTCTCCAGCGAACAGCCGTGTATTTTTTGGGTAATCGAAGAACACAGTTATCTTATCCAGCAACCCGAGATTGAGTGATTGCTGGTGATTCCGAGCGCATTAACTGCGAAGGCCGTTAGTCCTGTAAGTGTAGTGTGTGTTTTTATCGTGGGAGTTGGCGGGGATCTCTTCTGGGTGGTGATATCTGGCGCCGACCCACACGTCCGAAAGCGGGATTTCCCCCAACCTGGTATCTACTACAAGCGGAACACTGCCCAAACCGAAACAAGCTCTACGCTTGCGGAATATGCGATAGTGTAATGATTGTAAGTGTGAGTAAGTAAGGGGTGAGGCTCGAGCAAGGAAGAGGAAGGTGAGATCGCGCGCGGTCCGTGGCCCGTCTGTTAAGGTACTACTAATTCGCCGGGTGTTAATTGGAGTAACTATAGCATATGGCCACAGCACCGGCCAGTAGAATTCTCCAGACAGCGGCTAAATCCGACCTAACTACGGGCTAGTGTCGAAAATCCTGCTACCGACGGGACAGGAACCCCAGGACCTCTCGGTCTGAGGCAGTGCCATCAATTGATGCCCTGAGCCACCTAAGCCGGTACAACTGCCCGGGGGTTAGCAAGGAATGAGGGGATGGACGCAAAAGAGAAGCAAATTCGAAATACTCTCATATTAGAATAAGAATAATCGTAAACCCTTGGTTATTCAATTTTCTAAACACACAGTGGCTTTTATAATGATCCCTATCCCTATTGTTAAAAAATCATCCCACGTGTTAATTACACTATTTGCTTAAAGGTTTGAATAGTAATTACACCTTAATCAGGTCATCATACACATGTTTATCTTCCAAACTGAATTCTAATAGCCATCCCTTCCAGCCTCTTTCTAAAAATATTTGCAGTTGCATTGAAGCAAAACTCTTCTGTTTCGAAATTTTATGACTATTTACGAAACTATTGTGTTACGGAAGTTATTAGAATTCCACCCCTTTGTTCTGCTTGCACACAGCGGGCACGTGACAGCATTGCAGACTTGCAGCATTGCAGACCTTGGCAGACACTCCCCGGGCGAGAACAGGATAACGGGTCGTATTCTCACTAAATTTTTTTCTAAAAGGAATTTTTGTAATATTCCCAGCTAGAAAACACGCTGATTGAACAATCTATTACTCTTTACACTCTGCAGATTACCTAAGAACTAGTTTCTTGATTAAATCGCTAGAGTGAGATTAATAAAAAATGAAATTTGCGCCTTACTTTCTACGCAACAATTATACTAGGGAGCAAAAAACCATTTTGTTCCTCCAGGATGAAAGTAGGTAATTTCAAAGAAAACACTATAATTTTGAAAATAATTATAAAAAGTTTCTATCACGCAAGGTTCAAAATATATAAACATTTTAGTATTTGAAATAAAACAAATCCTTTATTCATTTCCACGTTCCGGTTATATTACTATAAAATTTTAAGGGCATTCTTCAGATGAGATAAGAACAAGTTAAAAATGGAATACGCTTATTCGTACAATTTTACGCGGTCATTAAAATGGTTTGTTGGTATTCTCCACAACGTTGATAGAGCGAATGTCAATGATTTGAGTTTTCCCTACAACCACAACTTAATTTTCATTGTACAGATGATACAACACGGGTGAGCAGCTCATGGTTGTTTTGATAACAAGCATGACACCCAAAGTATAAAGAATACGTAAGTTTTGTAATTTCATATTTTTTCCTTAGAATTTTGGGTGTAAATCTTTCACAAACGTAACAGAATTTATCGAGTTGATTCGCACACTTTCAATGGGAAATGACGATTTACATTTTGTAGAACCTATTAAAATATACAGATCATGCGGCTAATTTCAATTTATAAAACTCACAGAATTGTAATGTATTTGAGGCACACACAAACCAGACACGAACTTCACGCGCACTGCAGGTACAGTTTCGCATGAAACCGACTGTGTCAGAATATGCCACCCTAACAGTTAGATACTTAAATACTTGCAATAAGAAAAGGAGGTAAAATAATTCCTTTCGATGAATGATGCGCAGTGTGAAATATGAGGATACACGTGACTTGTTTTCCAAATATCCATTAAGACCACTAAGATATAGTCGTAATTGAGCGCGACTGCCAGACGGGAGAATAAAGACGGCAATCTTCGAATACAGAAGGTAAAAAAAAAATTTAAAAAAAAAACACGAAAGCCTAATTTTGTTGATATCTCACGAAAGTGGCATAGATGAACTGAAACAATTTTTAATTTTAAATAGATTTTATACGTATTGATTCTACATATCTTACGGGTACAATTTATATGTTTTTGCATTAAAAGCAAAATTAAGTATGATATCGTATAAAGATACGGTATATTTAAAAACGGTGACATTATGTGAAGTTTTTATTGTGATATTCGTCATCTACATATAAAATTGAGTATGTTGCGCACTTTACCTTCCTGGAGGTAACAATATTGTTCCGTAGTGTTTTTTTCAAAAAAACAGTTTCACTCTTTTCTTATTTTTTCTCGTACGTATTAAAGAAAATTTAAAGATTAAATTTGGAGCCATCTTTGAGAAAGTAAACTGTTTAAAAATTTCCTACATTTCACTAAAATATATGCAACAACTACTAATTTTTTGTGAGAAATTGTACATGAATTTCGTTCAAAATCTATTTTAAACAATGGACTTTTTTAAGAAAAATATGATTTCAATATTAAAATTGTGGAAGACACCAAAAAGTTTTGAACTCTTGGAATTTCCAAAAATTAGGAATTTCAACGAAGATGATACCCACACCAATTTAACATTTCTTTGCGATTTCCGAAGGCAAATTAATAAATTCCGCACCATTTTTGAGTAAATTTCGAAAGTGTCGAGACTTATTACGTCCACCCCAAAATGAAAATATCCGTTTTCAACTGTCAGAGCCTCGAGTTCATTACGATCGATAGGAGAATATCAATTTTGCAGAAAATCATCATTATCGTTGACCCCAAACGGACACACGAAAGGACCGATAGACTTCTACAGTCAATCGATATTTTGGTATCAATCCACAAAGCGTGGATTCTGTTTACACAATGTGTTAGAGGAAGTAATTTATTTCATATTGGCACAACTTTTTTGTTACCAGAGCCGGACAATAAGAGTTTTCCTTTCGAAAAATCGTTTATTTTTCGTTGGATGATCACTATACTTAAGCCTAAAAATGGAAACTAAAATGTACAAATACATTTTTACAACTTGTTTTCCACAAAACTATTATTTTGGGCAGAAGGATCAATGAAGCCTAGTCGAGTATTGAATTACAACATGAGGTAGTTTATATTAATAAAAAAATGCAGTTTTAAATATAATCCAAGGGAAATATATTTATTAATGCTGCTCATAGGTGGGAGAATTGACACAGCGGTCATACTCTTCTCAAAAGCCTTCGATCTTCTTCCGCACGATCAATTAATAGAAAAATTCGCTAGACGAGAATCGAAACTAAAGTAGTATCTTGGATCTGAGAACGGCTCGTTGGGAGAACTCAAAGAGAACGTGTTAAATGTTCGCAATGTGTCGAAGTTACGTTGAGAGTCCCTCAGGGAAGTGTTCTCAGCCCGTTGTTATTCATTGAATATGCAAACGACATCGGCCTGACATTAAGTCCATAATTCAACTCTTTGCAGAATGCATAATCTACAGAGAAATTAAAGCCACGCAGGACACGCAAGTATTAAAAGCAGATCTAAATAAAACAGAAAGCTGACAACAAAGTATGAAATGGAAATTATTGCAAATAAATGCAAAGCTTTGGTTTTACTAATAAGGAACTAGTAGTGCTAAAACAGCGCGTACATTCTCGCTCGTGTTTTCACGCAAAATTA